TTTTTTTTTTTCTTTTGACGTCTGCTATTCGCTAATTAGCAGAAACAGAAATTTTAATTTTGCGAAAAATTCAACGTTCTCCTCACCTAAATTTCTTTATGGCACCGTAAAACTTACAGAGGAAGAAATGAACTTCGAAAAAGTTTTTTAAAAAGTCATCTGTTCTTCGCACTCCCCAGTTACTTTTACAAATATTTCGTGAAAATTTTCCATTCCTTAGAAAAGTTGTATAGTAAACAGATTCTGGGAACACCAGCTACAGCTCATACATCCCAATAAATTTTATGGTAGAATTACTTCAATATTGAAAAACATTGCAATTTTGCAAGTCTATCAGCCATTTCAGCCGAATTGCAGCCTTTTAAACTTGTCAGCAAAACATAAAAAATATTGAATTTACTTTAGAATTCGTCTTGTCCAGAAAATTTTCTTTTTTGTACGACACTGCAAACGTCACCTTATTTGCCTACTACAACTGCCACTTGAAAAATTCCTGCACTTATTAAATTCTCTGCTTACTCCCGAGGAACAATCACTTAACTTCCCAAATAAGTTCTGTAATCTGTGCGCGTACAGTTTCAGCACGGTATGATTAAAGCAGTACTGTTTTGAGACAACAACTTTGAAAGTTCGACTAGCTTTCAGTCCGCTTTTTTTTCAGGTCCTGGAACATTACGGAATGAAACTAAGTACTGTTCTTCACCAGATTAAACCAAAAAAAATCTCGATTAAGATTTTTCTATATTCTTATCAGGAATACGACTTCTTTAAATCCTTTGCTTCTGAATTTTCATTCTTATAAATCACCCACAACAGAGCAGCAGGTGTCTTAAACACTTACGAAAAACCTAATACGTCGCTGTCAAAAATGAGGAATACTACTCAGCAAACAAAGTTGGAATTACACTTCCGTACGCTTTCAGGGCAACATCCGCGCTTTGTAAATGTTAAGGTGAATGGCAACCATTTGATGAAATATGGGTTAATATGGTGAAGTAATTCTGGAAAATACGAGGAAAGCGATTCATCTGATTCTCCCGTCCGTTTAAAGC